TAAATGATGAAAAATTAATATACAGGGTGCTCCCGAATTCATGGTACAAACTTTAAGGGTAGGTATAGGGCGTTGTCAGAATATTTTATTGTATAGGAATGTATGGCCGCAAGTGATCCGTTGAAGCACAAACAGAAAAAAAAGAGATGAAAGAATAGACAAAGTGTTTATTGAAAGCGTCTTTGACAAGTGTAATATTTACAATAAATGTTCAAAATTGCTTCTACCAGTAGCGATACATGATTGACAGCGTCAGTGGTGTGATTGGCGTACACGTCTAAAGATGCCAGGTATTTTACGCACACGTGCCGCAGCTTCGTATATTCAAGCACAACGAGATCCTCATCTGAATCAAGTGGAGTCGCATAAACAAGATTCTTCGGATGTCACCACAAAAAGTAATTGAAGCTTGATAAATCAGGAGAATGAGGTGGCCAAGAACTGTTCCATCACGCAGAATCCATTGCCCCCGAAATGTGGCATTCAGGTAAGTGCGCAAATCATTGCTGAAGTGGATTGGTACCCCATCATGCTGAAACCGCATGCGGTTACGAATAACGTATGTCAATCAGGAAACTGCACGTGATACATTCGTAGCGCAGCTCTGCCATTACCATTTGCATGCCCGAACATGAAATGCATGTCTTTTTTTTTCAGTATAATTATTTCTCCCATTGTAGACTTCAGCACAATTGTGAATGGCGTTTTCACCTGCTGAGATTCATCATGTTGAACGACGGCTAGACATCTACTGCCCTCTACCGGCAAATGCAACCAACCAATAACTCCATTTCATCTTTTCTTTTATTTCCCCTGTTTACGCCTCACTGCGTCACTTGCACCCATACATTCTTATACAATAAATGATTGTTAAAATGTCCTGTACCTACCCTTAAAGTTTATACCATGAATTCGGGACCACTCAAAAATTAAACTGTACATCTATATTATTGATCTCTATTCTCTAACTTTGCACGCATTATTGCGAAAATCGAATTGTTTCAGATACGTCTAACAGTGTGGCACGATAAATCCTATAGGTAGATTGGTTAGGCACGCCACAGGCAAAAGGTTGCCGACCAAAGGTTGACGATTTTAAGTGGGTAAAAACTATGTTCCTTTAAATTTTCGCCATCAAAAAGTGATTATCATTTTTGGATATGGTGATTAAATTTCAAAAGAAATTTGTGTTTTGAATTTGATTTATATATGCTGTGTGTGTGTGTGTTCATACGTTTAACATGTATACACTGTTTTGACTTTAATGATCTTTCAGATATTCATATCGCTCTCACAATATTGGGAGGATCGTTGCGACACAAAGAACAATCCCAAACTTCAGTTGATGCTTAGGGTAAATAATTGCATAAAATCTTCTTTAAATTTAAGCAAAATATTTCTTCAAAAGCATTAATGCTTATGTACATTTTTTGACCTTGATGAAAATTTTGTGAACATCAATCTACACAAATGAATTATAAATGTATCAGAAATATTGTGGACTGAGAAAGTTTGCATATAAATAATAGGATAGTATTTTTTATGCATAATATTAACTTATTTACCCTGTAAGAAAAAATTTTGAAAATGCATCTGAATCTCAATGTATTGTTAAGAAAATATTTAGTGATGAAGTGTATAAGTAACTTTGTAATTTTTCTATAATCAGAAAAAAACAAATTATTTTTTTATTTATTATCTTTTAAAACAATAAATTTTACAGAAAGGAATGAAAACAATCTGGAAGTTATATTTGCTCAAACTTGCAGATCTGCTGGACACGGTAAAATTTGATTTTTGTATACTTTTTTTCCAATATTTTTCATTCTTATATGAATTTTTTTTTAAATAAATTTATTTGCAAAACTCATCATGCTCCACATTGCATAACATGAGGCTTACAGACGTAAGTGGTAACAACATTACAAGACAATAATAATGACAAAAAAATAAAACACAATTAAGAAAAAAAACATAATAAGGGAAAGGAGAATACAAAAGGAGAAAAAAACATAAAGAGCCAAAACTAAAATAAAGGAAGGGAGGAAATACACAAATATAAAGATAGGAAAGTATCTGTAAAATTTTAAAAATCTATACTGTAAACAAATTTTCTCAAGAAATTAAGGCTTTCAGAACAATTGACTAACAAATATATATATGAATGCAACTGTTTTTTTTCCTATATTTTAATTTAACAATTAATTTAATGATCCAGTATTTGACAAACTGTAATCTTTTACACCAGCTTCAGAATTCTTTTAAAATTACTCCAATGAAATTTTCATTAATATTAAAAATTCCATATATATATATATATATATAAAATTATACATAATTATAATTAATGTGTATAACATGTGTAATACAAATATGATTTAACATGTATAAATAATATTTCTATGTTTGAAAAATTTCATGGGAAACTTTAAAAAATTTATTTTGATCTCTGCTAAGCCCAATATAATATCCATTTTCTTTTTCAAAAAATCTCTTACTTTTTTTCTCGATTTATTTTTAAACATGTTTTAATTTTTTGAAACTTTAAAAATCTTGTAGGTTTTCTTTGTTCTACGAAAGAAACAAAATCAAATCACTTTCCTACATGTTTTCCACCACAGTGGACTGTGCTTGTTGGGCACTTGGGGATTAAGACATTTAGAATTTTGCTCAGGTAAGAAATACTTTTGTAACATACAATCATATTTCTAAATGGGATACTTAATTATTCAACTGTATGTATAACAATATCCATTTAAAATACAAGGTATGTTCAAAAAGCATCCGACCTTGAATTTTCCTTCGCACAGTGAAGTTATTCTAAAACTTCGCCACAGTATACAATGGGAGTAGACAGATTAATGCACATGCTTGAATTTTATCACTTCGTTCCCGTGCATTAGTCTTTCCTGCAGGCAGTCGAGTGAGGTGCTGCTGTACGTGTTCGTCGGATTTTTATTTCTCTAAAGATGACTCAACAACTTTAGCAGAGGTACTACATCAATTTTTTTGTCAAAAGCTTCGTGATTATCTTAGTGAAACAATTCATCAGATTCTGTAAGTCTTTGGAGATGATGTTGTGGGAAAGAGACAAATTAAGGGAAGGGTTTAACTGATTCATATCTAGCCGCACGTCGGCAGAGAGGAGTCAGCGTTCTGCTTGAAATGCCGCTGTTGTTGAAAAGGTGGAAAATCAGGCCCAGCGTCAGGCACAGTTGGCGATGACGTTTGGTCAGCAAAGGTACACGAATGGGACGTTTGCTGCATAGACCCATATCCAAAAGTGTCCACTGAACAGTGTGCTCTTATCCTATTCTACTTGGCCCTCCATTGTATTGGGCTGTCAGCTGAGCCACTGTCTGGCTCCGGTTTTGCTTCACCATGCGAGACAGTCCCTGGCGACCTTTTTCTTTGATAGCATGTGGACGTCCAACACCATGTCGTCTACTGCTGGTTTCACCGTCATTCATCCACTTTGCATAAGTACTAACAACTGTAGAGCGCGAAAAACCCACGTGAAATACTTGTTCCGAGCCTTCGAGCTATTACAATCTGGCCCCTATCAAAGTCGCTTAGATCCGCAGCTTTTCCCATCCCACACAGAAGTAAGTGTAAGAATGATTCTTCAGACTCTCCAGCAGCAGTTAAATACAACTCCCGTGCCTTCCACTTCATCCAGGCGAGTTCATTGCAAAATGAAGGGGTGGTCTTAAAGTTTGGCTCTTGAGTGTATATTTCTGTTTCTTATTATTGCTTAAAAAATATTGGTTTACATACAAGAAACATAAGAGGAATTACTCTTTCAAAAGTATCAAAAGAGACTTAGTTATTTGTTTACATTGTTGTCAATTTCATTTTTCACATTTTGGGTTATTTTATCAACGGAGGTATCAGTGATATGCATTTTTAGATTCAGAAAAATATGCACTATTTTTTTAAAACTAAAATCGAAAAATTCTGTGATGCCCAGGTACCTTTATTCAAAAACTAAATAAAATTCCCAATCAATTAAATCAAACGAAAAGTTGATTTTTTCCCCGTTAGTATTATCAAATGCCGGGACTCATATTTATTAAGATCAATTTGTGAATACATTGTCATTTATCAGTTAAAATCATACATAACTTGTAGAGTTTAAACAATGACTGGCATCAATAAATGACTGTTTTTTGTATGTAAGTTTAAATATTTTAATTCAAAATAAAAGTGCTAAGTACCAGAACATGAAAGAAGATTATAGGCATAAGTTTTACTCTCGGGTGCACGCATTAATTTGAACTAACATTGTTTTCGCATTACACGAAATATTGTATCTTAGAACCTCGATCAAATTATATGAGAAGGATGTCAAAAATAACCTTATATTTCCATATCTACCTAACACATCACTTTAAGACTTTGAGAGCCTATCCGATTTAATGTACCGCAGCCTAAGTTATTCCTTACGACAGATTTGGATGTTACTTGAACATGAATTCATGTATCTCTCGATTAATTCCTCTTCAGTCACAAATACTATTTCTTTAACTTCTACACTACTGTAACACCGACATTTAACTATAAAAATAACGGGTTTGAGGTATAGAATTCATTTTCCTATATCTTAAAATGTAGTCACATTGCAATTTATTATGAGGAAATAAAAGAATATCAGTAGTTATATACTGTTTACTGGTTTGAGTGAATATTAACGTAGTCTTATTCAGCTTCACGAATAGTCTTTTGGCGATGTATGTGGTAATTTTAAACCATGGTCAAATTACGAGGTTGGCGACTTATCTCGTAATTTTGAAGCATGGTCAAGTTAAGAGGTTGGCGACGTATCTCTTAATTTTGAACCATAGTCAAGTTACGAGTTTGGCGATGCATCTAGTAATTTTGAACCATAGTCAAGTTAAGAGGATTACTCCTGAACTGGCACCCCTTTCTCCTAACATCTACACTACATCAACGGAAAGACGTTTAAGCCTCGACAGATTTAACGTATATCAGCCCTTCTACACTGCGCCACAAGGCTCGAACTTATGACACACTGACCATAAGTCCGTAACCTTAACCACTAGGCTATCGCGTTCACTCTACACGTTTGAAGAGACTTCTTTAGTAATAGTTGCAAGTTGTGAAAATTATAAAGAGTTGGAGGCTGTATTGGTTTATCAAGGCTCAAACAGCTACGTGACATTATGTGAACGTTGTAAACTGCATTCAGTTCAAGTACTTTATTCATGTCACCTTAACATATTTAAAAATTATAAGGACCCCATAACAGCCCACGAGGTGCTTTTAAGTCCGACATTAATAAACAATTAACCAATCTTGATATAATAAATTGAGAAGTTATGAAAAATTTTCATATTAGTGTAAGAAGATAAAAATATAAAATGTTTTGGATTATTATATTCGTAATCGACATGGTATATGAAATTATGATTATACGTTACTTTTTAGACAAATTGAAATTTTGATAAACGAAAAGAAATTGCAACAATGTTACCAATTGTTATAGTTAGGAAGAGACTTTTTTACATTTGAATGTTATTGAATCGGCAGTAGTGGCTTGTTTATTTTTTGTGATACCTTTTGAAGCTAAAAATTTATTTAATGAAATGAAAGCTTCTATCACATGCATGTCAGAACCTATATTGCTTATTATGATTTATTAAGAATAAATTTTTCTTCTCATAACTATTAATATATTTCAAATAATCGTTTAGCTTGTTCAGAATTCAAATGTTTCTATTCTAGGTTTCTACATTCCAGTCGGCTTTTTTATAAATACTATAGTTCATGTCATTATGTATTTTTACTATGGACTTGCCGCCTGCGGTCCAAGCGTTCGAAAGTTTCTGTGGTGGAAAAAATACTTAACTCTTGTACAAATAGTATGTATATGTTTGCATTTATTCAAATCTTATTACACAAACATAAGGTTTTTTTTTATTTGTATACAAGATTTTCCCAAATGCAGGAATTACAAACTTCGAAAGGAGGTAGAGAACATCATGAGGAGCCATAATTACATAGGAAAACATGGGCGGAAACATAACTTTAATGCAAAGATAGTAAGGCCACAGCATAGAATGTAGAGTAAAACGCTTTATTATACAAAAACAATAAATCAAAACTATAGCATGAAAGTACCACAGGAAGTGTACGAAATCGCTGCTACTGGCATGTATGCACGCACAATGTCGACGCGACAGGAATTGGCAGGCATGTTCCAAAATACCGGGTGTTTCACGGATCGTAGCAGCAACGATGGATATTTGTGCCACCAGGTCCACTTCAGAATTGATGTGTATGCCGTACACAAGGCTCTTTATGGCACCCCAGAGGAGATAAATCAGGGGATCTGGGAGACAAAGCGATAGGATCACCCCGCCCAATCCACCTGTTTGGCAGTGTCTGGTCCAAATTGTCTAGTGCACAGTTTCCATTGTGAGAATGGAAGGTGCTTACGTGACACACCATCCAATCTCATTTCCATCCCATACCCGCCGTGTTGAAACCACACGCGGTGCTTAACAGGTGCGAGAACATCCATAAGCGGTTCCGAAAGAAGTTCCTGTAGAAAGACAAGATACTTGTCAGTCGAGGTGGTAAGATGTAACGGCTGAGTAAATTCTCCCGCACAAATTTGTCCACACATTCTCAATAAAGTGTTGCTGTACGGCTCGTGGTCGGGCGCTGTGTGGGTTGCTTAAAGCCCACATGTTCACGTTGTGCGTATTGAACACCCCTTCAAGTGAAAAGGTTGCTTCACCACAGAACAACACGGAACTGGCAGAGTGCATGTCTGCCTCACTTTCATTAACAAACCGTTAAGCAAACACGACACGTCGGGGAGGATCATCTGGCTGTAATAACTGCACTCTCTGTACATGAAACGTAAGTAAGGCTTCGTATTGCAGTACACAATGGACAGTTGTTTGTGATCTTTCGGTAGTAACAGCAAGCGCCCGTACACTGGTACCGGGATTTCAGTCCTCACATTCAACTTACCCTCTTCAAATATGAGCTGTCGTGGCCATCCAGTACCTTCAATTGAGGTTCTGAAAGATCCATGTTCCACCAGGTTCTGATGCACTCGAGTGATCATTTGGTGATTCGGTTGCGGCTACGTTAGATATCTTTCTCCATACAACCGAACAGCTGCACGTCCATTTCCTTCGGCTAGGCCGTATTTGAAGTGAATATCCATCAACTCGGATCTCGAATAACGAATCCTGTTCATCGCACGCTGTCCATGTCTGAAATGAGAAAACCATATGTGTCGATGTTTTGAACTCACGTACAGCGCCATCTATCACTTTCCGCCCCTGCTTTCCTATGTAATTATGGCTCGTCACGATGTACTCTACCTCCCCTATAAGTTTGTACACGGTATTCAGAGACAACCTGAACGTGAAATTACGTTATTTTGTTTAACTTACGTTTACGTGACTGTATGTTGAAATTTACAGTATTACTGGTACCATTACATGTACGTGTACATACGGCTGAAGTAGATTTAATGATTGACGTATTAAATATATATATATTCATTAATAACTAAAATTAAACTAGTCCTTGGATAAAATTTGACAATGAGATTTCAGAAAATAGGACAAATAGTAGGACTTCAATTTTTCTTTCAACAAAAAAAACATATGCTTAGGTTCAATATCTCATATATTTTATATTCTAGAATTTACTACTAAATATCTTATTTATATATATATTATTAATTTACAGAACAAAAATAATTATTAGATTTTCTTGTTTTATAGTTTTGGTTAAATGCTTTCAAATAAGAATGAACAAAAGAAAATTTCCAAAGAATTTTCCTTATACTTGTATATAAATATATATGTTAGAGTTACAAACTTGATATAATGCATTTTGATATTGAGGGGATCCTTATTTAGTGGTAGCTGCAGCCGTTGAAGAATATAGAGGCTGGATATTTTTAAAATCCACATCTTATTTGACCCAAACGAAAGGAAGTAGCAGTACAAAAAGTAGGGCTTTAACACGCGCGGTTTACATTACTTTCACAAAAACATCCCTCTTTCGCTCAAAAGATTTCAACCTTTGATAATTTTGATCAATCGGAAGCCGTTAAAATCATATGATTTCCGGTAAAGGTTTTTCTGTTTGGTCCGAATACGCGAAGGGTGTAAGATTGTGTCATTCTGATTTAAAACCACTAAACTCTTCCAGTTTATTGTCGTATAAGGTTGTGATCCTTTTTCATTAGGAGGGTAAGATAAAAATTAATTACGGTGGGGCTCAAGACCATATTATGAATTGAAAATTTAATTGAGTTATTACACTCATTACTATATCTATCTATATATATATGAATTTAAGTTCAATATTATAAAAGTACCTCGTTGGGAAAGTGATGTACATGTTTCAAAAATTAGAAATATTATTATTAATTAAATACAACGCAACAAAATTCTTGTTTCGAAAAGAAAACTACAAACATTTCATTAAATACTGCTTAATTCAAACTTTCCAATTAATTTTATTAATAGTTATTTGTATTAAGAAATTCAAACCCCTCTTTTATATAATTTTTTACATATAATGAACTGCCCTGAGACAGCAATGTGTTTATAATACTGCAGCATCCATATTTATATACTTTCAAATTTTTTTTATTTTCATAAAAAAAAATTCTAGTATATATTTTCTAAATACTAATATCGGGTTTATAATTTCTGCTTTTGTATGGCTCAGCTATAGTGATTATTAATGATTCATGTCTCTATAGTAGAGAATATTAACCATATATATATATATATAAATTGTTTTTAATGCATGCTACATTTCTTTAACAGATGCAAATCTTTTTCATTGCGGCGTACATGGGTGTAGGATTCCTGACTGGATGTGAAGAGTTTGGTATCATAGAAAAATTAGTCTTCACTTTTGTATCCGCAAATCTGATCTTATTTCTGAACTTCTATAGAAAATATAAAAAATAGCAAACAAAAATGAACTTTATTTTTAAAAAAGATATTATTTCTAAAATCCTCTAGAGATTGAATCTATGAACATTTTACTTCGTATTTAGTAGAAGGGATTTTTCTTAATAAATCATTTAGAATACTATTTGAAAAGTAAGCATTTAATCACTGTTATAAAAAGAATTAAAATACAATCAGCGATGATGGAAAATTACAAGAGTAATACAAAAATGTGTGTAGGAACAAAATGAAGATTACACTGAATGGATTTCAATACAAATAAAATACTCCATAAAGAGAACAAGAAAACGATAAAATTGAAGTTCGTAGAGTTCAACCAAACGTCATAGTTGTTTTATGTGTTTACAACACTTCAAACAATTTCTTCCTCGGTGAAAGATCCATTCCTGTGAATTAATTCATCTTTTAATAATCAATACATTCTCTAATTCAACAAAAACTGCATTTCTATTTCTTGAAATGTGCAACGAAGGACAATAAAGTCATTATCACCATAAGTTAGATGCATATTATAGGTAATACAAATCTTAATTTATGAAGAGCAATTACAACTCAAGTATTTTCAGATATCTTTTACTTCATTCCTTCAAAACGTATTCCACAGCAAATTTAATGTGTATATTCACGTTATAATCTAAAAAAATTGAGTGAAAATTACAAAACTCTAGCACCATATAAATTCTTCTCTTGTAATCTTTATGTAAATCTTGTGGCAAATGCAATTTTTTTCTAAAAACGGAGCAATGCATTAGAATGAATATAGACCATGAATGAATATGTTTTTTTTAAGAAATTCACGTATATCATAGACCAGAGGTCTTCAACCTTGTAATTGTAGTGTGCCAAACCAGTCTACTAATATGATTCAAGATGTCATGCGATATGAAATATTTGAAAATATTCTATTCCTACGGCAACTCATGTAGAGATGAGGAACAGAGAGATAATACAGATTTAGAATTTTATTATATATTATAATTATGCACTATGTAAAGCACTGATCTTCAGACTTTTTCATTTCATGGAACCCCTAGAGCTAGAAAACGCGCGCGCGCGTTTTCGGGAACCCCATTTCATACACATAATTCAAAGAAT